GCTTGCAGTCATGTCTGGAGTCACCCAAAGACACCCACCATCTCCTGGGTTAAACTAGAATCCCAGAACAGCAAATCCTTGTGCAGACTAAAATGTAAAGCAGACAAAACCCAGCAGGTACCTGCTGAGGTGTGATGCTCTGAATGACATTCTTCTCCACCCACTGAATCATGTGATCCTGTTCCTTCTGACGCTTTAAGTTCTGCATAGCCACTTGGTAGTCCAACCTCTTCTTCACCTCGTTGTACACCATCATCATCCTCTCCCTGTAGTTGGTTTCCAGCTGCATTGCAATGTTATTCTGCACACAGAACATGGAATCAAAAGGGAAATGTTGGGCATGAACACAAAGGCAACGACAGAACATGTTCTATAGCAGAAGTCACAGCATCATGGAATGATTTGAAAATGTTGGGCATGAACACAAAGGCAACAACAGAACATGTTCTATAGCAAAAGTCACAGCATCACGGAATGATTTGGGCTGCAAAGGGATCTTAGGGATCACACAGCTCCACCCTCTGTTCTGCAAAGGGATCTTAGGGATCACACAGTTCCACCCTCTGTTATGGGCAAGGACACCTTCCAGTAGGTCAAATTGCTTCAAGTTCCATCCAACCTGGCCTGGAACACTGCCAGGGATGGAGCAGCCACAGCTTCTCTGGGCAACCTGTGCCAGAGCCTCATCACCCTCTGAGTAAAGATTTTCTTCCTAACGTCTGATCTAACCCTCCACCAGTGTAAAATCATCCCCCTTGTTCTGTCACTGTCCGTATGAGAAGTCCCTCTCCCTGGATCAGGTGGGGGCAGTGTCCCTGTGTGCAGCACACAGGTAGGAAGTGGTTTGCAGCTGGTTGGCAGCAGTGCCAGAGGCACTCAAGGTGCAGCAGGCAGGCTGAGCGTGGGGAGCACCACGTACCCGCTTGGCATCGAACAGGTAACTGCGACCTTCCACCCTCCACTGCTCCTTCTTCTCCTGCTCAATGGCAGCCTGGAGGTTCTCAATAGCCTCATTTTTCACTGCTAAGGCTTGAGCTATTTTCTCCTGAAGGAAGAAACAACAAGTAGGTTTTAGAATGAAAGGAAGATGCAAGGAAAGCAAGTGATCTGTGATTGAGTGTGCATTGAGATTTGAAAAGGGTCAGTGTGATCTGCCCTGGGCTGAGGGTAAAGGGTGGTAAGAGAGAATTGGGGTTCACAGTCATAAATCCTAGGATGGTTTGGGTTGGAAAGACCTTAAAGCTCATCTCATTCCACCCCCTGCCATGGGCAGGGACACCTCCCACCAGCCCAGGTTGCTCCAAGCCCCATCCAGCCTGGCCTGGAACACTCCCAGGGATGGAGCAGCCACAGCTTGTCTGGGCAACCTGTGCCAGTGCCTCAGCACCTCCCAGGGAGGAATTCCTTCCCAATATCCCATCTGACCCTGCCCTCTGGCAGTGGGAAACCGTTTCCATTTAACAAAATCATCCCTTATCAACTACTACAACGTCAGCTTATGGTTTCTACTGTTACCTCGTTCAGTTTGTCAGCAAAAGCTGCTACATCCTTCCCAAACCTCTTGATGCCATAGATGAGGACTGTCAGGATACAGGCACCTGCCACTGTCTCGTGGTTAATGACATAGATCTCCTTGGAAAGCAGGTACAGCATGAGGCCAGTGCCCAGCATGTAGGGCCCTAAGGGGAACAAAGCAGCACTGTTGGCACAAAGCATGAGGAGGCTCAATAAAATAAAGTCCCTAAGAGGTTAAAGGGTGACAGGATCAGGTGTTGTTTCTCATCAGGGCAAAAAGCAGAACCACAGTGGACAGAATTACAGAATGAATCAGGTTGGAAAAGACCTCTGAGGTCATCAAGTCCAACCTATGACCCAACACCACCACGTAAACTACACCAGAGCACCAAGTGCCATGTCCAGTCTGTCCTCAATTCCACCCAGGGAGAGGAATCTCACCAGGAGTGGAAGTAACTCACACCTGGCACAGAACCTGCTGCTTCTGCTCATCCAGGAACAGGTAAAAATCTCTCTGGAAAGGTTTACAGGCAACTAAATCTTCCTGCAAAACGAAGCTCATGGCATTTTTTAGCCTTTCTTTCAAGCACAGATGCCCAGGAGAGAGGCAGGAAAGCTGCCCTTGCGCCCTCCTTTCACTTTTTCACACCCTGCTCATGCAAAGCCTCATTTCACTAATGTTTGCCCTTTCCAGCACCCAGTGGTGATGGACTGGACTACACAAACATAACCAAAAGTGCCTGCATTAACCTGTGACTCCTGTTTTAGGGTAGAGAAACTGGAAAAACTCCTCGGGGATCAAACCATGACGAACTTCTCCTCCTTTCTCGGGCAGGGGTGGCAAAGGAGCCAAACTCTGCTGAGTTGTGTGCAGTGATCTGGTAGTGTGCAGCACACTGTGGGCAGGGAGAAACCTTCCGTTAACCTTCTTATGAAAAAACAAATCCCAATCGAACACGTTTACAGTGAAATAAATTGGCTTTTATTGGACACAGCTCCAGCCAGGAAGTGTGTGAGACTAGACAACCTCCACAGCTTCCTCTCCACAGTCCTATTGCATACCCACAGAGAGTTCATGAGAAAAATAAAGGCAACGCCCTCCCAAATAACGTTATTTAGACGTAACACCGTCAAGTTCTGAGGGGCTCCATGCCAGCCCTTCAGGATGAGAGGGGAACACCTTCAGGCAAAGGTCACAGCGCACAGTACTCACCCCGCAGCGAGGGGCGGCGGCAGCGCCTTCAGCGCGGCGGGGGCTGCAAAGATACAAAGGAATAAGGGAAAAGAAGAGG